GAAAACCGGAGGCGGCTCGGGCAGCCAGGAGCGGCCGGCCGGGGAAAGGAGCTCGTCCAGGGTCAGCGCAGCTTCTGCTCCCCCTTTCTGCCTCTCTCACGAGATACTTATGGTGGAACACTGAAAAAAACCACTATTTATTTAAAAAAAAAAAATCCTATATTGCAGGACTAAAAAGAAGTGATATGACTGAATTCCGAGAAACATTTAAATTAAAAACTTGTTTAAAATACAAAATTAAACCACGCTGCTCCGTCGCAAACCGCCCCAGCGAGGCTCGAACGCTCGTTTCCCCGCCAAGAGTCGCCCGTTCTCCCAAGGTTTGTGGTGTCCGGCGCTGTAAGCAGCTAAGACTTCCAGAAAGTGAGATCCCTTTCCAGAGGGCTTCAGCTTGCGCGGAGGAGTTCCTCCTACCGACAGCCGGCTTCGCTCCCGCCAGGCTTCAAAGGAAGGAGGACAGTGGGGACAGAGGGGTGGCAGGAGGCTTCTAGGTGTCCGAGGCTCAGCTGCGCTGGCTCGGTCTGTTCATACCATCCCGCTAAGTGTAGCCCAGCCTTCCAGCTTCTAGGTTTCTGTCCAGATAAGATTTCTTTTTTAAAAAAAATATATATAATAAATCAGCAACAGGGGCTGAACGCTTGTCAGACTCCACAGACCACGCAGAGCACAGAACGATCCGCTTCCATGGCGGCGGTCTCAGCGCTGCCTCACTGCGGAGAGAAAAGAGAGGGAGACGCTGGGGAGGGGGAGAATGCCTTCCTCTGAGGAAGAGGAGCCGGAGTCCTCCTCCCTCATCTTCCTCTAAACACTCTCCACCCCCGGAGAGGCAGAGCAGAGGGGGCTGGTGAGCTCAGCTGAGCTCAGCCCTACCCCAAACCTTCACCTTGCGCTAAGCCAGGAAGGTCTGTGAGCATTCCTCACCCACGAGAGGAGCCTGGGCAGCTTCCCCTGGTTTTATCTCTGCCATCAAACCCACTCTGCGTCCTCAGGAGAGAGGAATGTCTCTGCTTTGCCTTAAATTTATCTAATTTAAGGTGTTTGGGGCAACAGATATCACCCAAGAGCACCGACGGTGCCTAGCACGAGGCAGGATGAGCTTCTGCGTACTGGAGGGGGGTGAACAACGTCTGCTCCCGCTCTGCTCGGCTCACACATCCCGTCAGCCCAAGCAGGGACCACGCAGCCCCCCACGATTCTCCCTCCGCCTCCAGAGCCGCACAAAGTACTCACAAAGCTGATCTCCGTCTCCTGCAGGTCCTCCAGCTGCTCTCTCAGCTCTGCGGAGTGCTCGGGGATGGAAGGTCCTGGGGACCCGCTGGGGAAACACAAGAGGGAGACCTGTGAAGCGGTTTTGAAAAGGGAGCTGTCAATAAATCCCGTCCCCGGGGCTGCCCCGCTGCCCAACGGGAACAGCACGGCACAGAGGCGGTTGTTAGGCAGGTTTAATACAGAGGCACAGGCAACGCCATCCCTGCTGGGGCAGGCACCCAAAACACCACCTGGAAAATCATCCCGCCTAGTCCACACCACTTCCAACATCAGAAACAGGGATCTTTTGTCCAGCCAAGCAGCAGCACCTCTGTATGGAAGTCTCCGAGCACCTCATCAACATAGAAACAGTCCTGGGTGAGAACAGTCCAGGGCCAACGAACCCACGAAGCAGCAGAGCTCAGCGAGTCTCAGCCTTTCCGGAGGCACCCTTGTTTGAAAAAGCCACTGGCAAACTTTTTACAAACCTTTTACGTTCTGAATGTGTAAAAACACAGACCGCGGGCACGCTGAGCACCTGACAGGACACATCCCCAGGGAGGAAACATGGGGCACAGAACAAGACTTGCTGTAGCCTAATACCCTTTGTCGTTTCCTCACTTCTTTCATGATCCTACAGGCAAAAAGTTGCCATCTGTTGGCTGAGGAACTCTAATTCCCAGCTTGGGTCTTGTCACAGAATCCCAGAAGGGTTTGGGGTGTAAAGGACCTTAAAGATCATTGAGTCCCACCCCCTGCCACGGGCAGGGCCAACTCCCACCAGCCCAGGTTACCCAAAGCCTCATCCAGCCTGGCCTTGAACCCCTCCAGGGATGGGGCATCCACAGCTTCTCTGGGCAACCTGGGCCACTGCCTCACCCCCCGCACAGGAAAACATTTCTTCCCAAAATCTCATCTCAATCGCCCCTCTTCCAGTTCAAATCCATTACCCCTCATCCTGTCCCTCATGCCCTTGTAAGAAGTCCCTCCTCAGCCTTTTTTCTCAGCTTATCTTTTTTTTGTCCTGCTTCCTACGGAGGGCACAGTGACCACAGCTCCTCTTTGCCCCTTGAGCACCGAGGCTCCAGGACTGCCTGCGGCCAGCGGGACCTGCTCAGCCCTCCCGCAGCCAGCACCCAGGGCTCAGCACTCCTCACAGCCTGCCTGCCGTGGACGTGTTAATTAGCGGGTATTTAATTGCCTGCTGCCCAAGCACAAGAAGCACGGAGCTGTTCAGCCAGCAGGCCACGCGGCACCCCGTGCAAACACCCTTGGCTCAGCACCCGAACGGAGACCCCAGGACCCTCGCCGGGAGGGCGCAGCTCCCTCTCTGCCTGCTCACGCCTCACCTACGCGTTGGGGTTACGCTGAGCTGCTCTGGTTTGGCTTCCTCCTCCGGCGAGCTCTCTACCTGGCCACTCGCTGCTTCCGACCTACACAGAAATTCAAGGTGAGGATGCTCAGCGTTGGTTCCGGCGCATACAGCCCTTGAGGTTTGTCTCAGTGAGCACCCAGCAGCGCTGTCCTAACGCAGGATGAACCGTTTAGGTCGGAAAAGACCCTTTGGATCGAGTCCAACCAACGCTGTCAAGTCCACCAGCGCTTAAGAAAAAAGAAGTTCCCCTCTCAAACGGAGAGGATCACCCTCTGGAACCCTTCGCCGCACCATGCTGGGCAGCAGTTTCCATTCCCGGTGGCACACGCCAAAGTTTAGGTGTCCCCAAGGCCAGCACGCTTCTGTCAGAGGTCAACGACAGAGCCGGACGAGGACCAGGGGACACCCACGCCTGCGCGGTGTCGCTTACACCACGGCAGAGAGCGCATCTTCCACACGCCGGCGTGGAAACAGAGGCATGTGGCAACATTTCCGAGGCAGGCGCGAGGCTATGCTGCAGAAGAGAGACTGAGGTGGTCGTGGCAGGGACGAGAGGGCTGAGCTCATGTTCCTAAGGCAGGTCTGGAGCAGGGCAGGTCCTGCCTTCCCCCTGTGCCCACCCCTAGAAGGGCAGAAGCTCCAGCTGGAGAGATTCTGGGCAAGAACATTACCATTTGTACGGACATAGAGAGATTTCAGAGGTTACCTCCCCAAAGGGTGGTACACACCCTGCTAGACCGGCTGATTCTATAGAGAGGGAAAAAAAAACCCAACCAAAACCACCTTTTGCACTCCATTGAATGAGCTGTATTGTTCTAAAGCAACAATCAGTAATTCGCCTTCAACCTTCTCAGCGTTCGCAGAGCTTTACGCATCTCCCGAGGTTGCAAAAGTGGATTTAAGCCTCTGACATCAGGTCTGACGTAGGGAGCTCTGATCTCAAGGTTCCGTATGGGAATAAACACCGGTCTGTTCCTGCTCCTGGATTTCATTGCCACCACCAGGCACCGGTACAGCATTTTACTGGACGCTAGCAAACGATACCTGTGCGCTCGAGCGCCCGCAGGGTACGGTAAGAGGCATGCTCTGCTCCAGTGGCACCTGGGGCAAACACAGATCAGGCTTTGCACCGGGGGAACCACGTGGGACTCAACCCAAAGGTGCAGCAGGTTGGATCTTACCTGCCAGAACCCGTGTTTTTACCAAGAAGGGTGCTCAGCGCCAGGCGGGGTAAGGTGGACACCACCCTGAGAGGTTTTACCGTCGAGCCTTACGGCAGACAGACACGTTACGGGCTGCTGAGCCTCGGCACGGGGACGCGCTGTGTCACAGCGCTGCGTTTCAGGAGTGAGCTGGCTGTACGGAACCACTGGCCAGCAACAAGCGCAAGGCCAAATCCCAGCGTAAGTCTGACTGAGCGCACCCTCCGGACAGGAGAAGGTTTCATCAGGCAAAGTCTGGTTCCTCCCCTCACCTAGACAGGAAGATGCCGGGAGCTGCTCTAGTCAAATCCTTTGCTGAGCTGTCAACTTTATGCACTTGTACGCCCACTGACCTACGTAGAGATTGAAGGAGAGAGACCCGCAGTTAAATAAATAAAAAAGAACACCTCAGGCATGCTGACGTACCGGAAAGGAGCAGCTCTGGTTTAGGATCCCTACTGAGAAGTTTCCGTGTTTTACAGAGCAGTCAGAGGTGTTAACTACAATCGCATCTCGCTCTCCTGCAGCTCAGGAGAGAGCGGACACTTCGATCGGTGCCGCTGCGCAGGCAGCGTGGGTCAGGAATGGGCAAGATGGTTTCTGATCACTTCCAGGAAGAGAAGTTACCACCTCAGAAAGGGATCATCCTCTGACCACAGCTCCTCCTCGTCCCTGCTAGTCTTACCGCTTCAGCAAGACACGAAACATTCCAAGGCAGCCAGCAGCTCCCTCAGGGCTCTCCATGCATTTCAGCTTCTGAGACATTTTGAACCGCGCCTGCGTGCGTCCCTGCAGCCTCCTTTCCCGAGGAGCTGCAGGAACTCGGCGCTAACCCAACCAGTGATGCTGCAAGAGAGCCCAACCCTCTGGGAAGAGCAGCAGGAAGGATCTTCTGCATCGCCCATCACCACGTTAACGCTCTTCACATACGCTTGGGCAGCGACACTTTCACCAATTAGCACAATGACCTCAACTCCAGAACAAAACCGTTAAATACACAACACACACGGAACTAAAAGCCACCGGGACCCACACGCAGCCCAAGCACAAGATGCAAAATCACGTCATCCGCAACGGACTGCACGCAGGAGTGGCAACATGACGCTCCCCCCTTGCACATGCTCGAACCGACAGCACCGAACGTGCTCCACAACACATGGACCACTCAGACGGGTGTTTCTGCAAGCATGCCAAACCCCAAACCATCCACAAAGCAGCACAACGTCCTCCCACGGCTCAGGAACCTGACTCGCAGGAGCCGCCGGTCTCCCATGCGCCGAAACAGCACGAGCCTTACCTATTTGCGGGCGAGTTGAGGCCCCCGCTGCCCAAGGAAGAGGTGGACAGGGTTGTCGCGACGGAGTCGCTGTTAGCTTCATCTACCGGCAGGGTCCTGGGCAGGAGGTCTGGGCGACCAAGGTGGGAACCTGGGTTGAAGCACAAACTGTTCCATCACCAACACAACGAGTGGGACCATGTGGCACAAGCTCCCACATCAGCCAGGGGTCGGGATCCCACCCGAGACGCCCAAGATACTCGAGCGCTGAAAGAACCAGCCTCGCACGCAGCGCTCTGTTCCAAGCCCAAGCCTCCACACGACCGCCTAGCCCAGCTTCTCCCCGACACAAACCCCAGGGGCGTGAGGTGCTGCGAGTCATAGAACCAAGGTTTTGGTTGGAAAGGACCTCAGAGATCATCAAGTCCCATGGGCAGGCACACCTCCCACTAGCCCAGGTTGCCCAAAGCCTCATCCAGCCTGGCCTTGAACCCCTCCAGGGATGGGGCATCCACAGCTTCTCTGGGCAACCTGGGCCACTGCCTCACCACCCTCATCGTAAAAAAAAATATCTTCCTAATTTCTCATCCAAATCTCCCCTCTTTCAGCTCAAACCCGTTCCCCCTCGTCCTGTCCCTGCACCCCCTGATCCAGAGCCCCCCCATCTCTCCTGTCGCCCCCCTTTCAGCACTGGAAGGTGCTGGAAGGTCTCCCCGGAGCCTTCTCTTCTCCAGGCTGCACACCCCCAACTCTCTCAGCCTGTCCTTGCCCGGACGAAGGCTCGCCACTCCTCCAGGTTTCCTCATGGTGCTGTCAAAGGCCATTCGGTGGGTAGGAAATTTTTGCCCCCATGTGGTTTCCTGCCCCCACAGTCCCAGAAAACATGCCCTCCCCTCGCAAGACCAGAAACCAACACAGAGGTGCCTTGCACAGCTCGGGGGCAGCAAGCTTCGATTAGACAATACAAACTGAAAAATAACTTCTCTGGGCTTTTTGCCCAGGCACCAACCTTGCTCTACATCCGCCTCTGTCGTTACTTGTGCTTTCGTCTCGCACAACACGTGCAACTGGGCAGGCACTCCTTGACAGCTCCGCCGAGGAACCGCTGCGCCAGACCGGCTCTTCTTAGAAGGGGACGGCTTTACTTCAAGACAAAAACCAAGAAAGCACTTTTCTAACACATTCAGGAAGGAGTAAAAGACCCGACGCAGCAACTTTCCGGTGACAGAGTCTGGCACAAGAGCTGTGCCCGGAAAGAACAAGCTGATGGATGAAACAGCCCCTCTAAGGTCACATCTGTGAAGCAAGAACAATCTAGGAGGAAGGAAGAGGTGACACTGCACAACAGACTTCCTAAAGCTCTTCCACGCTGCCGCCCGCTTTCCCAAAGCACAGCCGCTGAGCCGGGAGAAGCCAGGATCCATGGCGACTGCCACAGGTGCAGCTGTGCGGAGGTACTTACGTGGTATTTTCTTGAACACGGTGCTGCACATGAACCGTTGGAACCTTTCGGCGTAGAAGCTGGGTCTGTGCACAGATACGGTGTCCTAGAAATCCGAGGGATAAACATTAAGGTGTGAATCTGAATTAAAAAGTGATCACGGTTAACATGAGCTTCTCTCGGGCTGGAAGCCTCGAAACACGCTACACCGGGCTAGGAACAGTCCGGGGCTCTCAGCCGCTCTCACTACAGCTACAGACAGCAGGCATTACGTACAAAGCAATCAACACCTGCTAACAAGCATGCAGACGAGCAGCATTAACAAAACCAACATGTCCAGGAGTACACAGGAAGTACGACTTTTATGTAAGAGGGTAAACATACACACGCGCCTTATAAATCCAGGTTCCTACACCCAGAAGGAGCAAGCAGAGCCAGCACAGTTTAAAAAGACGCTGGTATTGTTGCTAAACAAGTTTAAAAATGATATTTTCCTACTTACCCCATCGTGTACAAGGGCCTTCCAAGAGTGCTCCAGCTTCTTGACGAATCTGACAAAGGAAAGAAGTAAGAATGATTTCCACACCAAGTCCCCACCGTCTGTATCGTGTCACGCTCGCTCAGTGCCCAGCCTGGCTCTGACCACAGCAGCCAGCAGACCCCAACCGCAGCCTGCTCCGGCTTTGGATTCCCTTCACTGTCCCTTTTTTCTAACACTGCTCCAGACACCGGGGCTGGCTGCACACTCCCAGGGGAGGGTTTCACAGGCGTAATTATCCCGGGCAGCTCGCTTGCTATGACATTTAACAGAGATTTCACATATGTAACCCTCTACGTGTTGCATTTCAATAGAAATAGAAGACAAGGTAAGCCTCACAGCTATTTTTTGTTTTACAGGGAGAAGCGGTTTTGGCCATTTTAAGCCACCGCTTGTTTTTTCCTTGACACTTCCTGCGCAGTGCCTGTGTACAGCCACCACAGCAGACAAAAAAACTTAATAAACCTATTCTGGGGCCGTGAAGTAAGTACAGTAAGCAAGACACAGAAATTAATCCCCAAATGCCCAACTTCAGGAAAACACAAAGTTGTAAATAAATTTTTAAAAAGTTTGTGTCTTCACTATTTCTTGAAAGCCAATCTCGACAAGCAAGCAGGCGCAGACAATGATGGAAAGTGGTCTTCACCCTCGCGTGACACAAAGCTTTATCAAAAGTTTCCTACCTGTAGGACTGCAACACGTCGATGATGCCGACGTAGAGCAGCAGCCTCTCCCCCTTGGCGTTGCGGGCGGGAATGCCTCCCATCCTGGAAGGGAGCAGGGCACAAACGTGAACGGGGGGCTGACACGCCCCACCGCCTCTCTCACGCAGATATTACGTGAAATATTTAACAAGCACCAACGTGCGGGAGGCACCTACTGCTCAGCTACCGCACTGGGGAGGACAAGTCAGAGCAAAATGTCATTTCAGTACATCAGCTAAACCTCCTGAGCACTGACCCCTCTCCCCCTGGGTGACAGTTTAATGGCAGGATCAATTCTGACTCATCCATGAGAAGAGAACAAGAACCATAAAGAGCATCTACCACCATCCCCGCTAAGATGGCTGGGGTGCTGGGCACCAGCCGGCTGAACAG